GATTTGGCTAACAATCCATTCCAGATGGAAGATGTTCCAAGTGAGTCTACAACGAACGATGTCGACGATAGTTTAGCCACAAAGACGGCCACAATAGACGATGACAATGTACTCGGAAGCATGACTGGCGACATTCTCGACAATCCACTTCTGATTGATGATGTCTCGGACGAGTCTGATACGGACAAATTTATGGGCTCCGACAGCGACTTTTTGAATGAAATACCTGCCAACTTCGCCGGTTCCAGCCCGACTGACACTGAAGGTGTCTTTGACGACAGAAATTCAGACAATGACTATGGGACTTTGACTGATGACGTGTCCAGTCCGGTTGACGTCGTCTCGAAGAAGGACGCCACAAATACGGGTAAGCCTCCTGTGATTAGTGGATCTTCTCAAGATGAAGATAGCCCACTACAATTTGAGTCACCTTTGGAGGATGAAAATCCTACACAGCTACAGCAGTAAGAGTTTTTCCTACCGTTAGCTCGTAATGATAAATTCTAGCCTTAATTGTCTGCAACAAATCAACAAATATCCTTTGTGTTTCATGACTTTGAATATATATAGTTATTCTTCCTATATCAAATGCAAGGTTACAAACGAACTAGCGTTTCCGTTTCTATAGTATATGAATAAACAGAGCAAAATCGTGCTTACGACCCTGGGTACAGATAAATGGAAATGAAACTTATAACAACAGCAATTTTTTTTTTGACAGATGCACCGAATTTTATATCCTAAGAAATGAGCGAATGGGTAGGGATGGACAGCGTAGTGTAAATTAGAAAGAGTATAAAGCATTTTTGATTGTTTAAGAGGTTGGTTTCTTACTTTCGTGCATCAATTAATGGTGATCATCACGACTTTAATCCAATCTAGTGAATGAGACGGTGTAACATATCTGTGTCGTCGTCAGCAATCGGATAACACAGATCTGGATTCCTATAAATGCCATCGGGAGATTTTTTAGACAGAACAAAATGCATAAGAAGCTAATTGTCTGGGCTCTTGAATTGACTTAACGAGCCTTGACGTTTTCGTCTCTTGCCGATGCTTTAATACGTAGGATAGGGAGGGGGTTCAAATCTTTTCTACATGACAAATATCTATGATAGTGACAAAGATATTCCTCTTAAGTAGTAAAATACATGTCAATCCTTTTGACTCTTGATAATCGCGACACACGACATAATTTATCGCCATCAGTTTGACGCGCGTATTAGCTACCATGTTTTGTGCTGCCTCCAGATAAGTTTCTCTAGGCTTCAATGCACTGTGTAAGCTCCTACACGATACGTCTTATGGTTTGATAGATTTTGTACAAATAGGCTTTCCGTCTAGACTGATCGGACATGGTTGGCGACTGAAAAACGAAAACTTTAGTGATCACCCTTTTGTGAAGATTTTGATCAAACTCTATGGGTATCATATTTCTTCGTAATGCAATGAAGTATACATGCAACTTATATGGTGCTTGCAAAGAAAATACAACAATAAAGGTCCTTAAATTGCTATTCTGTGCTACCTCTTGAATCTGACCTGACTTATCTTGGCCAAACAACGACAACGATATTGTTCACATGTAAAATCCATGTCGGTGACAGTAGTTGTGGCCGTTGACGCCATCCATGTGACGTCATCCACATGCATTCAGCGTTGTAATCTCAACATTCACCGCAAATGTTGAGTATGCTTCAAAGCTGTGTTCGTCTTGATACCCACTGCCTCGCAAAGAAACTGGAGCATCTTGCTTCCGAGCGCCTTCGTCAGCATATTTGTAAGTTGATTTTTAGTTTCAATCTAGTCAATCTTTAGTAATACAGGCCCAACATTCTTCCACATAAATTGGTGCCTGATGTCTATGCATTATGTACTAGTGTGTTAGCCAGCGATGCCCGCCAAAGTTATAGCCCGTAGGTCGTCTTTCCATATTTGTGTGCCTCCCACCTGTTTGTCACCCATGTCTTTGATCATTGCGCGCGTTTTAAGTGCTTCTTTGTGTGCATAGGCTGGAATCCATGTAATCGGCTTCTGTGCATGTCAGTTTGACGTTTCTCTGGAGTTTGAGCTTAAATACAACCGTAGCATTTCTCATATAGATCAACACTGCTTGATATAGAGCGTCAGTCATCATTGTTGCTGTTACGGTCCGCATCCGAAATTTTTTAACCGCATCCGAAATTTTTTAACCGCCTCCTTAAAAAATGACCCACTGAGTACCAGTTGACCTCAAGTAGCGTATACACGAATTTGGCGTTTCAATGCTGTCACCCGCGTAAAATACTAGACAGTTGTGTGACGCCGTTTGCGATGTCTGGGTTGTAATCTGAACCAGATAGCCGATTAGATAGCGGTATCGTCTCGAGCGCATCTTCGAACGCCCAGCTTCAGTCCTTGATGACTGTGATGATGACAGGTTGAATCTGGTAGCGTCGATGTCGGTGGCACTCACCGAGGCAGATAACTCGACCACGTCAGCCATGGTAGCAGCTGTTCTGTCGTGGTCGATGTCCACGCCCACTGTAGGTTATACCTTTCCGAGATCCGTCCTATTGAAAGGACCCCCTGCCATTAATCTTGGTTGCAATGATCATATCACCGACATGCAGTCATTCGTACACATCTTCGTCTTTGGATTTCTTCACGAAGATACATTGAATCTCTCATCGGCTCAGAGTATGCTGCACACATCGTCAACAAAGCGATTTATATCAAAAAAGCACAACCATTAGCAATCGCTCCAGGTGTCTGTTCAAATGAGGTGTAGCCTCCTTTGCAGTTCGCTGTAAAGCGTTTTTGAGCGCTTTCGCGTGATGCACGTACTTAAAGCGCTCTTGAGTCTACATTGGCCCTCATATCGCTGACCCCCTGCGGCCATGAGCTCTTTCGACACCAACCGGAATCTCTATGTGAATATGATCGACTGCACACTATTTAATGACGGTTTGGACACCCTGCTGCTCAAACTCGTATTTAGAAACCGCACAAGCTGCCAGAATTGAGATCGTATTAGCCATCTGAGAGCATTTCCCAAGTAAATTCGCAATATAACTCTGATTAAGACCCTAAGCCTACAACCATACCTTGTAATAAATAACACTGTCATTTTGATCCCGTTTCTTAGCAAAGTCCCAACGGCATCCAATTGTGCGCGGCCCATCCTGATCTTGCTGGCATTTTGTCTGCCCGGATGATGCTTTGTCATTGTCGTTCATGGTCAGCTGTATTACTGAATTCTGAAGATGTGACTCGCGAATGTCTCCTCCTCACACTCTTCCAGCTTCATCGACCGTGATTGCAAAACCTTGTTAATATCCAGATCGTAATCGCGACCTCCCTCGGTGTCTACGGCATAACCTAGAAACTTACACCTGAAGCCTTTATCCTCTAGATTCTCCTCTTCACATTAATAAATTGTGCGTACCTGTGAGATCCTAATACTCATAGGTGATCCACCAAAGGCTTCACATTCAAGTCCAACTTATACGATGTTGTGTTCCGATGCACAGGTCAGAACCCTTGTAGTGAAGCATGTCCGTTGTTTTGTTATCATCGTACAGCGCATTCGCTTTGCAATTCTGCTCGGTTGGGGGCTGCATGGCACCGTACTATGGTGCACGTTACCATTCCGCTGGCATTATCTTTTAGCCGTCTTATTTACGAAGTCTCCTATTCCGTTGTTTTAGAGCAGGCACTTTGGCTTTGAATAATCTGAGAGCTTAGCTCATCTTCGTCTAAACGTATGCCGCCATATATCTTGAGTAGAACAAACGTAAGAATAACTTGGCCCCTCCTTTCGGAAGAATCTCATGGGTTTCATTTCGTCCGTTTACCATCACTCCGAAATTGGCGATGTCTTTGTTACAGACCGTTTAGGGTTTGCTTGAATCGTCTGCTTGCCCTTTTCACAGCCCACAAACAACGTTATTCATCCTTGTGTCAGCACAGGCATACCGTTTGTGGAGCGAAAATCTTCATCAAGACATTATCACCTAATTTTTCAAGCGAGCGTACCATATCTCCCACTGACTATATGCTCCCAAATAATACACCGATCGTTTCTCCTCTTGCTGACAGTGCATCGTGCAAGCTATAGCGTGTCTGGTCACGGTTGCCATGACACACTTCTTGAACCAAATGGTACACGAAACACTCTACGTTCTGAAAGGTTTTCCACTAACAGAAATTGTCTGCAAGATAGAGGATGAGTAGCATCTCCATCACGATATGCTTCTACCGTCCATGTTTCTATAATGCTCAGTTATTACTATAATCTAATCATGTCATTTTGTGATTTTTTCCGTCCGCAATAGTTGTTACGATGCTGGCATTTGGACTCTTTAATAGCCCAAGTTAGTCCGGTTAGGCGTCATGTGCGATGTCGCACTGCTGCGACGTGAATTCGGCACCCATGGCAAATACTACATCACCCCGCTGAGACGGTTTCTGCTGGGCAGTCCATTTCATGTGGACCGTCTGATTACATTTAAAGGACTATTCCCGAATAACGGTGTCCTTTCGTGGCGCATAGCTCTTGCGACCGCATCCTCCGTCTGCCCTTGAGCAGTCCGCTGTATTTATCAGTACAAAATGTTTTCTCATTGGCTTCCTTTTTTCAAAACTTCTCAGACTCGTAAATGAACTCTACATGTCTCCACCCAGCTTTAATTTAATGGCGCTCTCCACAATCAAAGAAATACTCTCATACTCCAACGACAGGCTGCTCAGAAATATCACCAGCTGTCTTGGCTCATCCACTGGCTCTCCCGTCTTCTGATGTTCTACAGAATTTTGTCAAACGTGTCTAGATGCTCCGCCATGCGAGTGCCACTCTTCTTATTGAACTCATGATGACGACGTGTCATAGTGTCATGGTAGCACAGAGTGGAGCATTTGTCGAATCGCGAAGTCTCTTTCCGCCTAGTAGTAAATCGAAGCTTTGTCTATACGTCCTTAACAATGATTCTTAATGCCTTGGCGTCATTCATGAGCTACACCTCCATTATGTTGACCTTATCCTTTCCGGCCATGACGCGCCTAAGCAGCATTATTCCCGCAAGATCTATCCATCCTCCAGGAGATATTCGGTGCGCTTGGTAGTCATGGTGGTTCAGGTATCGTGGAGCAAGGCTTCGTTGTGGCTGTTAGTGCAGCGGGGCTGCCGTAGCTTTGCGCTTAGAGGAAGCGTAAGTTAGGTCACCG